TCGCTCATTGAAGCGTCAAATTCGACCAATCAGCGCGCTAGAATTATGATATTCACTTATGAAATTATACTAAAAGGGAATATCGTTATCTTTGCATGTACATTGTACCAGTATATGATTTCACTAACCCTCTCCCTACCATTCTAAAAATGGCATTGCTCTCACTTGTCAACTTGAAGTGGTTGCTAAGTAACTTAAGTGCTATGCAAGAATCAGTTCATRCTCTTTTGGTGAAATTATCAAACACAGACTTACTACCTAACACAAATTACATTTTGGCATGTACACTATGCAACAGCAGAAATAAATGAGTAATTGAAAACATTGTAATTAGCAAAAGGTGATAGCTCTACAGGGGAGGGGTAGAGTTTATCGGTTACTATGACAGTCATGGTTGCATGGTATTTAGTATATAACGGTTTCAATAAATATTTTATTTACTAATATTAAAATGATTGATCATTAATTATCCAATAATATTAAGTTTCAATATTCATTTCAATTGTTCAATATTTCACTTTTCTTTCAGGATAAAAATGCTTCATTAAATGACACCAACACAATTGATATTTCAAGCAATGACAGGTAAAAAAAAATACATTTTGTAATATATCTCAGCTTATAGAGTACTAATTGTAAATTCATTTTAAATTGCCTTAGACTACTCGTACATGTACATGTAGTAACAAAATGACTTCAAAGCAACTTTAGTGAACATCTTGTAGATTGAAGATGAAAGACCACTTTGAATAACAATTGAATTCCTATTTATCCATAAAAAAGGCTGTTGCATTGATATATAATGTACATGAACAAATTTATGAAGAAGGGTCTAGAAAATATTCACTATGTTAAAGTGGTTTGAATTTTTTTTAATACGAATTCTCCCACACAGTTTTTTACACTATTCTTTATCWATCAGAAACTCCATAACTGTAAATTATGAAAATAATCAAAGTCCCAAGCAAAAGACTTTCTCTTCTTTGTTCAATGAGAACAGCTATGAACACGGCACTCCATCCTCCATCACAAATGGACAGTAAGTAATAAAACTAAKTAAAGATAATGATAATTACTGTTAGACATTGTTAAGTAACAAAAATTAATTGTTTTTGTTCTATTTTTGTGAAGTAATATGATTGATTTTAGGTCATCATCCCACAGCAATGGTTCAACTGCTGAAAAAATTAGACAAATCGTAAGTTTACTTTGTAAAAAGTACCTAGTAGACAGTTAATAACAATAAAATTTGTTTTATTGTAAGGACATAACAACACTATTATGATCATGTTTTTATTTTTTTCAAAAATATTCAGTATTTCCTATTCTTCTTCTTCTTTTTCATTCCCATTTCATCTCTTGTGACGTTTTCGTTCGATGCTCACTCTGATTCAAAATGTTGTGCTAGACAAGATGGAAAGGGTCGGAAATTCATTTTAAACTACATGTAGTACAGGATGAACTGAACCAATGCATCACAATAATCCTAAAATGATTTTAATTGATTTTTTCAGTGCAATCAACTGAATGGATTGACCAATCAGGTACAATTTATTACCATCATGTAAAAAAATCAAAGGAAAAGAGGGCAGGGCAGGGGAGGGGGTATTTGCAAGTGGTAGGAGTTTTCATCCATGTTGGAATTAGATTTGAAGTTTTATCGACATTGTTTTTACTAAGTAGATAATTTTTACCCAGTTATGTACTGTAGAAGTCACTTTCTGTTTGTCAGCTCCTTGTGGGCTTTAGTTCATTTATGTAGGAGCTAGTTTTTAAGAAAGTAATGTTCTTCTAACAGGATTTCATGATCAATGGTGAAGATCCTGTAATCACAGAGATTGAAGCCTTAGAGGCTCGTAATCATGAGTTAGAGGAAGCCTTGCAGTCTTACAAAAGATCAAATGACCACTTAAACAACCAAGTTAATGAGCAGGTAAGTAAACCACACTTAATTGGAAAAAGTCTTAGTTGGGTTCAAAAAGGTTTCATTTCAATCCCATGAGCCTTTAATGTCATGTATCTTTGTTTTCACTGTCGTTCTGATAATTATCATCATTGAATGTTTCAGAGAAAGCAAATTCTTCATTTTCAAGATCAAATTAAAAAGGTAGGTCAAGCAATAGATAGTCATCTAAAATTCAATATGTAACAAAGAAATACAATTAACATAGATTGTAGATCTGGTTTTGATTCAAGTAATAACAGTATTTTTTCACAGGAAAGAACAGAATTGGCAAATCGGCAGCTGTTGGAACAAAGAACATTRAAGGAACAGCTAGAGGTACTTTTATTTATATGTTCTGCAACATAAATATCATTAATGTTGTTTGGAGAGTTCTGCACTCAATGCAAACCATAGTCCTGACATTGCTGGCGTTACTKCACAATAGACTATAGTCCAAAAAGCTTTGTTCTTATACCCTGATGGTCTAAAAACAATGAGAGTTGATGGTTGTGATTGACTGCAGTGAGGTTGTCAGGGTTAGTTGCATATTGCATGCAACAATGCAACAATGTAAATGGAAGTTTTCTTACCATTTCATGGTTGAGGAAAGCCAGCCTACTGTAACTGAGTAACTTGTACTTGAGTTTACTACTTGACTATGGAATCAGAATAACTATGAACATTGAAAATGCATCTAGCCATATTTATTTTTTTAATTATATTTTGTGAAACTACATGTACTGTACCTTAGGTCCACATACAAACCATTGGAATACTAGTTGGTGAAAAACAAGAACTACAAGGATCTTTGTCACAATTACAAAGAAAACTAGTCAATAAAGAAAGTAAGTTGATGATATCACAGGGACAGCAGGTTGATATGTATCTGTGAGTGAAAAATTATAGAATTTTACAGAAGCTTACAGTGCATGTACTTAACTTGAAAAGGTTTTGATTCCTCACTTTGAGCTCTTGATTCAAATCTTTCATGTTCTCTGAACAATCCTGTGTGTTTCTAACAGAGAAAGGAAAACATCTTTTGATGCTCACATGTAATTGTAAATTGCTGTGATATTGAACAGAGTTATAGCCCTAAATGGGCAGATACAATATATAACTAGGGAGAGATTATGTGGCTTCCTTCATTGTTGTAAATTCTTTTCTTTCCTTTTCTCGTGAAACTGGGTCTTTTCCTTTTATTGTCTTGTGTCTGACAGCCATGAAATAAAAACGTAAATTGATACATAAACTTATTTTCAGGTGAAAACAGTGAACTTTCWGGCCGACTGCAAGCAGTCAGGCAAAAAATAGTGGAGCTGGAAAAATCCAATGCAGGTCTAACAGCCAACTTAGACAAGTATAAAGAAGATTTCCACCACGTCAGGCAAGAAAGAGATAAGTATCAAACTGCAAACTATACACATGGAAAGAACAATGAAGACCAACTACAACAGATAGAAGAACTRAAGATAAAACTGGATACAAAGGTACTATATTGTACATGTACAGTAGTTATTATTTGCTATGGATTGAATTCATTAATAATTATTAGCAGTTATTTATGATATTTTAAAATTATTTTAGATATCATTTAAATAATTGCTAATAATTTATTAAAATATAACTATTACTGTATATATTCTTTGCAGATTAAATAGCTGAAGTGTACAATAAACTGTGTTTTATGAGAGCATAGAAAACTCAAGCAAAGAGTTGTTATTCTATTCATTTTCTAGCTTGTGATTCAAAACCTCTTGTGTTTTCCCAACAATCTTGTATTTGTATTATATTGTATTACTTTTATCTGAGTGATGACTTTTCCTTTTCTATTTATATTTTAGTATTCATTTATTTATCCGTCTAACAGAGAGTGGAAACTCTGAAACATCTTCTAATGCTTATATGAATTTATTATCATCAATTTATTCTGTGTATTTGCATCATATAATAGATTTCCTTTCTTTGTACCATCACAGACTTAGTTGTAAGTTCTTCTCAAGTCAAAGTGTCAACATTTTTTGTGTTTTTATGATAATATTAGGTATCGGAAAACGAGAAACTCACCAAGTCTAATGATGAAATAAGTTTTAAACTTACCCAAGCTGAGCTTATTGTACAACAGGTAATTCTTGAMCATGTACATTTGTATTATTGTAGAAATTGTCTTAAAGCATCAGAAATTTTGAAGAATTGTTGCTAATTATAAGAAAGTCTGAAGAATTATGCATACTATTTTATATTAGAATAATGTTTCCACTTCATGCGTCTTCATTGTCATGTAGAAACACACATGTATCTTGGCTGCATCAACCATATAGAATGGGCCATTTGCATTATGACGTAACTTAACTACAACTACCAGACAGCCTTGCACATTTTCATTGTTATTCAGATTTTTAATCCCCTTGGAGATTGATAAAACAATTGGCACTAATTTTGCATTACAAAAGAAAGTTGGCAAAGCATTCTGGTAGTTGTAGTAAATGACGCCATAATGCATATCGCCTATTACTTGTGTTAAAATACATGTAAGGAATCAACATATTTTTGTTCATACTTGACACCTTTTATATGACTGTTATTGTTGCAAAAAAGGTTGTCAGTTTGTGGTGAAGATGATTATTGCCACAGACAAACATGTAATCTAATTTGATGAGTTTGCTTTTTGTTTTGTTTTAATCCAGCTTTCAACTGAACCATCGGCTGCTTCAACACAGTCTCTTGTACAACAGCTGCAGGAAGAGAACAAAGAACTTGAAAATAAACTTGAACAGGTACTGYACATGACACAGGATTTGTTGACTCATTTCATCTAAGGAAAGAAAGGCAGAAAGAAAGAAAACATGTTGATGGAGATTGAGAATGCAATCTGATGATTGGTGTAGTTGTTGATCAATTACGTAATACTGACCTCGTTTGTTCTACTTGAAGATCTCAGATTTGTTCATCCAATCATAAATCTGATCCGATTCTCTCTCCAACAGTGTTTTGAACTACAATATTGTAACTATTTCTCATCATAGCTGTGTGATATATATGATATATGCCTTTTTGAATCTTCCAGGTTAGCAGGTCCCTGAAAAACTATCAATTAGATAATGAAGAGCTTCAACAAAGACACACTGATGAGACAGACCAGTTTGAGAACAGAATACGAAGCCTGAAGGAACAGGTGAGCTGTCAGTCATGAATGATGACTTTCCCTTGAATAATGGTGTATTTATTGTTGCTGCTGTTGTTGTTATTGTTACATTGTTATGGTAAGTTGTTGTTCTTGTTCTTGTTCTTGTTTGGTTATTGGTGATGGTATTAACGTTGTTGTTGTTTATTCTTGTTTTTGTTCTTTTGTTATTGTAATTGTTTTTGTTGTTTTTGTTGTTGCTGTTGTTACTGTTGTTATTGTCGTTTGTTATTATTGTTGATACTGAATATGCGTTTTGTCTTATTGTTTGTGATCTTACCATTATTTGCACATCTCAGAAAAATTTGCGGATTCAAAATTACCCAGTATAGTCTACACGTTAAGTCAACGTTGTTATTGTGTGTGGGTGTCAGTTTCCTCACTTAATAGCTGGACACTTCATCGACGTGAAATAAATGAGTCGAGATATTGATGTTAATCAAGTTAGCTTTCTGTTAATTAAAGGTCAATGCTCTGGAATCAGAAAAGAGAGAATGGGAAAGCAAAGAGATGCAGCTGCAAGAAAAYATGCAATCCCTTAGTATACAGCTAGGTAGGTACACTTGCAGTYGCAGCAATCTTTGCCGATACGTAAACTAAAAGTGTGACACGTTTCTCGTTCATTTCCTCTCCTCTGCCTCTCTTATACAAAAAGTCAGAAATCTTGTGGCTCATGGTAATTCCTGCGGAAGACTAAGTTCAACAAATGTTCCAATGATGTTGGATGATCCCGCAACATCCTCATTGCCAGATCTGTAATGTTATGAATTGCTTGATTGTAGGAGAAATCCAAGACGAGGAAGCTATAAAAAGGCAAGAGGCATCGTCCATGGTAGCAGCACAAATACAGAAACTCGCAGAAGAAAAGCAGCAACTAGTAGACCATCTACAGAGAGAGGTAATTCCTATCAACTTTCTTATGACAGCTAGTTCTTTGTTTTCAATGAAATTTATGCCAATGCTGGAGACTGGAATACTGAAAAAATTAAGCCAGTCTCATTGCCAGGTCATTTCTTTTTTTCACAATCTACTCAAAAATTAAAGGGAAACGGAACAAAATGGGAAAGAGCGCATCTCATGTAATTTAGTTATCCTGCAATGTTTAATTATTATTATTATTATTAATTAAATAATTAATTGTTAATATTAATTATTATTAATTAATTATTATTCTGTGTTTTCATCAAAGGCTTTAGAGAACGACATGCTTAAAAAGTAAGTAACACAGAAATGGAGTGGTTTTATATTCTACTTTAACGGTGAAAATACAATGTATGACTTGAAATCTCTGTACATCCAAAATTCATAGATTTGACATCAGTTTGTTTTGTTTAGAATCGAAGCCAAGTATCTCCACCARATCCACGAGCTTGAACTGAACCTTAGCAGGCTTGAGGAAGATGCCAGGGACAGAGCATCGTTACTCGAGAGCGTTCAGAGCGACAAAGAGACAATTAGCAGGTAAAGCAAGACTTCTCACAAACAGAAGTTTCTCTTTTATATCGCGTGAATTAATCAAAAATTATATAATCTTTGTCCTTAGAGCGCTTAAGCAAAATAAAGACTTAAAAGAACAACTTGAGCAAATAGAGGAGAGATTCGTTCAAATGGTTAGTATAGGAATCTACTGTACAACGCACGAAAGATGTCACTAAGTTTCATCATTAGTGGGATTCCTGTGTTAACTCRACGAGAGAGAATGAGGAGAGTTTGATGACGAGGTTCTTAGTTCAATCATCTATCTCCCGTGGGGGTAGTAGAAGGGGTTAGSATTTGCCATGTAAACAAACACGACCAAACCTTTTTTACAGCCGGTACCTGCCAACACTTGATAAGCGCTTTGTCCWTTTGAACCGGGCGATCTTTGACTTATATCTGTCTTTAGAAGTTCCCAAAGAACCTAGATTTAAGTGTTTTAATAATAAGACGCCGAAGGAATATATCAGTGCTAGGAATATATCAGTGCTAACCGCTACGTTTTGTTGGTTGGGTGTTTCATTTTGTTGCCAGAAAAGTAAGTACTATTCATGGGAGTTTATAGGACATTCAGACGTGCTAGGAGGATCAGCAGAGGCTTTAGAAAAAAGTTGACTTTAATTAAAGCATTTTATCGATAGATTGCCGTGTTTTAGCGGTGTATTTATCATGGTCGTGATTTTCAAGACCTGTGCGCGTCATACTGTCCAACATTCTCAAATGTAGTACAGTATATCATTGATAAGAATGAGATGTGTACATACTGATGTTTATCTTTCCAAATAGACGAATGATAACATGGAGCTTACCAACCAGAGAGACAACGAAAAACATGTCGCTAGAGAATTAGCGATTAAGCTGAGTGAAACTGCCGTGGAATTGGAAGAAACAAAAGACAAGGTAATTGTGGGCATTGCTTGAGAAACGTGCGATTGTTAGTTACATTTATCAGTCATGAAATCTTTCGTAATAGCTACAGAAAATGGTGATTCCCTTAATATCTGTTTTGGGCAATCACGCAACTTCCGCAATTCGATTGCGTTTACTTCTAACGTTTTTGAAATTGTCCAGTGTAGAAATGACCGTACCTACTGCCCTCATAGAATGCCCACTTATAACTTATAAGCGTTATTCAACAGTTACTTGACTTCTCGGTGTACTGATTGGATGCATATTTAATCTCAGTTATCTAGAAGCGAAAACGAGCTGGCGTCCAGTAACGGAGAGCTTAGTTCCGTCAAAGATCAGGTGAGACATCATGCGCGATGCAAACGGGGGAACTTGGAGTGCTAAAGAAATTGACTTTGATCGTCCATTAATTGTGTATATCATGCTAAAACCAATCCATAATTGTGTATATCATGCTAAATCCCATCCAATAATTGTTTATATCAGGCTAAACCTTATCCCATATTATATGTGTTATATGTTATCATCATTGATAATATTATAAACTTCTCAACAGCTCAATGGCTCAAGTACTGAAGTGGATTCCTTGCGTACACAGAACGAGCTTGCTATTCAGCGTCTACAAGAGCAGGTAGCGAGACATAACGGCACTTATCATTGGTCCATTATTGACCAATGGTAATACATGTAACATTAACACATTTTGCTTCTGTTTTGTTTCAGTTAAGTCATAAAGATTTTGAAATTTCTTCTCTAAGGGAAGAAGTGACAACCACGTCACAGCGACTTGAAGCAACTCAAGTATGTAATCCTTTTGATGTACTCTTGATCGGCCTGTCTACACTTTGTAAACGTTCTGTACATACGATAGACTTCTGAAACCTTTTACGTCGCTACTTGATTTGCAATGCATTATGGGATCAGTTTCTAGGGAAAAAATATCCTACAATGCATTGCGTGTACGGTAAATGACGTCAAAACTTTAGAGTTTTATTGTTTTCGTTATAAGTATTTGTATAACTATTATTGTGCAATTAATAGGAAGAAATACAAGATACAAAACCACTCAACTTGACTCGGAACATTGTTACTGTTCAATGTGTAGAGTCGATGTTTCTCGTTTCTCCCTTTGTCTGATCTCTGACAATTTGTCGCTGAACAAAGCACGAAAAACACTGACCCTAAACTAATTGAACACAATAATGCTGCTTGACAAGTTTATTTTTGTATCTCATATTTCTCGCTCGTAAATCGATTGTGTTGTATGATACCTGCAGGTACAGTCCATTGAGTATTACAAGCAGTTCGAGGAACAAACTCAGAAAATGAATTCATTGTATCAACATTTGAACACATCAGAGGTATGTCAGACTGATTTACGGTGTAACCCCGCCTTACGTCCACCCTCTTCATACGGCCACCCCATTAATACGAACAGATTTTTAGGCCCCAACGAATTGTAGGCCCCATAGATTTATGTAAATACAAACATCTTTTGAATATGTTTACTTTTTTATGTCCATTTGGTGACCAGATTAACGAGGTTTCACTTTATGTGTAGAAGTATGAATGATTGCATAAGTGAATGATTGAATGGAAGGAACATTAGATGGATGAATAGAGCGGATTTCGTATGAGTGCAACACCGTTACCGCACGGTTACCGCACAGTTACCGGACCTGGCCTGCACAATTTTGGTGAACCAATGGGGAACTAGAATTTGGTTACAGTACGATTACGGTCACAGTACAGTACCGTCCGTTTCCCACTCATACGAAATCCGCTCTAAATGAATACATTGACTATAAACAGACGTAAAGTTGAATGAATGAATAGAGTGGATTTAAATTTCAAATGACTTTATTTTATCAGGAGACGATATCACAGCTAACTTCTGAAAACAAACACCTGAGAACAATCCTTGAGACTCGTAACGACTCGGCATCAGATCGTACGGAAAGCGCTAGCAGTAAGTACTCCATGAAATCTTAATTATACTTGTTTTCATTACTGAAAAACCTTATTGCTCTTGTATTTCCAAAAGGTCTCGACGAACAGTCCGAACAAGACAGCGCGCCTCTTAATGGTGAAACACACGCCAAAGATGAAGATTTCAGCGACGACGAATCGTTGCATATCGATGGAAAATTGTCGCCTCAAGATGCTCAAAGCATTACACCAGATATCAAGATATCGGAAGGGTCATATATCAATGGGGACGTATATGATAGGTCTAAAGAGGATACGGACTCAAGTGAGGAGATGGATATGGCTCCTCGTGAGCACCAAGCCAGTCCTCATCAATTATCGAAGTACACAAGTAGAGAAGACGTGGTAAGGCTGAACTTTCTTTACGATCCCTATAAATTATCAGCTTCATTGATTGATTGATTGATTGATTGATTGATTGTCTGTTTTTGATTGATGCTGTCACTCAGGTGGAGGGTCTATCAGTATCAATTCGCCAGCTTGAAATGGAGCGTGACCAACTGACTCGCCTGTTACAAACCTACCAAGAAAACCACCAGCGCGATTTACAGAGACTACAAGAACATATGGAGCTACAGTTACAGCAACAGCTACAGCAGCAATATCGAAATGTAAGTCACTTGCCAAATATGGATCAGTATTCTTCATGCTCACGTGACGTAGTCTAGTTACGCAATTTCCTTGCCATCCCTTCGATCCCAGTCTCTACGTTGTATGAATTTTCTCGAGGAACTGTTGCAGACATTTAATTGGTCAAAACACTAGTCCACGGGTTTATGAAAACCATTGCCTCTGTTGTTTCAATGTAACTACACACTGTGTATCACGAGTTTATTTTAAGTCAACTTTGTTTTGAATATTTCCAGGTCCAGGAACAATTCCAACAAACACTACACGAACAGCAGCAAAAGATAATCCTGCTTCAAGAAGTTTTACAGAAACAAAAAGCAAAGATAGAGAAGCAATCCGAAGAAGAAGACATTCAATCAATGGAAGACAATAGTGTTTCTTACGAGGCGCTGAAGGTCGCTTTCAGTAAATTACAGGTAAAGTAGATATTAACGTGTCTGCACATGCTTTTAAGGCGGCTGCTTTTGGCCAAATATGTACGCATGCATCACTGCGCCCAAGGGGCTGATGGGATTTTCCTTCCCTTGATGCATCGCGCGCCGCTCAAAAAGATAAGTGACTGGGTACGAATTAGGATCTGAGGGTCTCAAACTTCGACGGTTAGACACTCCAACCAACCAATCAGCGTACGAGAATTCACTCAAGTATGGTTTTTGTATTTTGTAGGTTCGGTTTAAAGATCTCATGAACGAGAAAGCAAGTCTTCAGGACAAAGTACAGGAACTCGAGCATCTCACTGATCAATTGGCATTTGAAACTGAAACCATCGGTAAGAGCTCTATAAACCAGGCATTTCCTAGTCACTACAGATTTTATGATTTTATGACCCTTTATAACCGATCGGACATGTCGTGCAAATAAAGGGGCTCCTTATTAAACCGGACATTTCCAAAGCATACATTTGTCACCAGTTGCTGTTTCTAGCATTTTTAAGGAGCTTTGATACAAAAACATTGATCACTAAATCTTTCTTTCTGTGTGAGTGCCATCTCAACCCCGCGACGTGCTAACCACAGGGAACCCATTCAATCATGGAACGCGACTTTGATTAACGTGCTTTTTATTTGTCTGTTTGTAGAGGAATATGTTACATTATATCAGACACAACGCGCTTCACTCAAGAAGTACTACCATGAACGTGAAAAGATTATAACACAGTTATCGAATGAGAAAGGCGATATGCAGGTACTATTGGTTGTACAATATTGTTAGTTTTCATCCATTCCCATGAGATTCAAAAGATAAAAGACCGGCGGCCATTTTGGAGGAATGAACAATAGATACTAATGAGAAATCCCTTGTTAAAGTTCCTCCAAGATGGCCGCTGTGACGTAACCTGACGTGAACGAAGAATTTTACCGCAATCTAAGCCTCTTTCACCCTGACAATAACGTAAAATCGCGGTCCTTGGCTGATCGTTCGATCAGCGACTCTTGTTCATATTTGGAAGAGTCTTGACAGTAGAATATTTGTGGTAAGACTATTTTTTTTCCTTCGTCAACAGAATAAAATATCACAATTACAGTCTCTGGTAAGGCAACTCATAGAAGAACGCCAAACTCTCCAACAGCAACAACAACAAATGCAAAACATCGTCAATAAACGCATGCTGGCACATGAACACGAGAATCTCATCCCAACAGAACACGTGACACTCGAATCATCGATCGACGACTCGATTCTAAAAACAGACGAGGATTCTTCTTTTAATATGGACAATTCTTTAGACAGTGGACGAGAGAGTCCTTTACAAGACTTTGAATCTTATCAACCAAAAGACGACGGTACAACTCGACAAATATTACAGTTACTCGAACAATTAGGGCCCACTGAGGAAGGTGGGATGAGTGGTTGGTTGTCACCTGAAGTTCGGAATAGAGACTTCTTGCCGTGTCGATACTGCGCCGAAAGTCGATTAATACAGATTTAATCATTTGGTCTAATTTATTATGAAGGGTTGGTTGTGTATTCTGAACTTTGCATTCTGTTGGCGAATACGAAGACGAAATTCGAGAAGAATTAAAGCGTAGCCATGAAACGTCCTGGAGGACGTTTGGCTGAATGTTTCGTCGCTTACATCGGAGAAGATCAACAGAGTTCAAGGTTCTAGTGGATTTCACGGATAAAATTTGGTCAATGATAATTCCCCGTCATTCCAGGGGGGTCGGTGGGGCGTGGCATGCTTTCTATTTAAATTGAGACTCACTATGCATTCGACGTCTCAATGAATTTAGATCGAATGTTATGGAATAGATAATAATGAATAKACTTATATCATAGATATTTTTATTACGTAAAGGAAAGGCGTACAAATAAATATAATTGTTCGTGATCAACAACACAATATTGTAGTGTAGATTATTTTGAAAAACGYTGGGCAGGTTAAACGAAGGATGAATCGTTATTTAACAGATAAGTTATTAACTTTATACTGATTTTTTGTATGGATTTTATTCGCTGGATAAAGATTTTTCTTGCTATTCATCTTTCGCACAACCAGTCCCTGAGCTGCCTCTTTTAACTAAAAAAAAAAAAAACACGAAGGCCTAAAGAGCGAGCTTTTAACCTAATAATTTCTCAGGTTCTTGAAGGATTCATTGCATCAATCATTTAAACTTGAAAGTTTTTCAACGAATGAAGAGGGTGTTAGCACACAATCTGAGCCTGAAAGAAAACAATTGTATGATGATATGATTACACAGGGTGACCTACGTAGCACGCAATTGATGTAATGTATTCATAAAATGTATTGTATTCCATTGTTTCTCGTTCTATTGTATTATGTGTTTTGTATTATATCTTTATGAATATATTACATCAACTGAGTGCTACGTAGGCTCTCCCGTGATTACACATGACGACCCTTCTGTTCATTGGACGTCTTGTACGTACAACATGTACAATTCAGGTTATTTCATTTGCCGTATCTCTAATGTGCTGAAGTCAATGCAATGGGTATGGGTRATKGACTGATTGTATTTGCTTTGAGTTAGGCAATTGTGGAAAGCGACGTTTGAAAAAGGCTTACAAACAGATGTAACGAAAGACTGCAAACACACCAATTAAAACCTCCCAGTCTTTGTTTGCCATGGCAACCTGTCGAGAAAATTGAGGAGAATTTCAGTCGCAATTTAACATGAAATTTAACATTTTTTTAACCGCTATATATTACCTCATATGCTGTCCTGACTTCAGAGTATGTCACACCGCCTATGACGAATACAATGAGGCGTGGCACATCACGTGTTTCCTCGTTTCCTGGTCTGGGGACATTGGTGCGACGGGCACTATAAGATATAACATACCWAYCAGTCCTGACGAATGGTTCACGATCATAACTTTGTTTATATTAGGTTTTTAGATTACATACTGGTAGAGATAAGATTAAAAAAACTCATAATTTTTCGWTCAGTTGAGAATGGGTGTATGGATGAATAAGTACCCTATAGCCCATACTCTACCTTATGATTGGTGATGTCGCTGAAAGTAATAAAAAAACGAATTTTAGCATTAAAGATTTTTTTCTCTACTTTTTTTTTGTTTTTTTGCAAATACGATAATATCACTTCCATTTTCTACGAAACGCAGTATAGGTCGACACTGGATATATATAAAGAATGAAGAATAAATAGTAAGTACCGTAGGTATACTGTAAAGCATAAAAATATCATCTAATTTCAAGCAAGGATCATTGTTTTACTGTGAGCTTTCAAACAATTACCTGCCGAAGCTACTGCTCTTTTTTTAGAGTATGGATAAAGCTTCTCACTAAGGATCCCTGTAATAGTATCCTACAACAATAAAG